TTTGGTGGTGCAAAGCTTTTCTGAAGCAATAAGGGAGTTCAGAGTAGAATTACCAAGGCAGTAGGGTTAGTCTAGAGAAGGTTCTATGTGAGTTCTCAGTAGCAGTTGCATTTTAACTATTGCTGACCTGGTTCATGAAGGCCTTCACACAGGATTTCTCAGGGGCTTCAGGGACGATCTGTCCCTGCAGGGACTTGAGTGTAGGATTTTCAGAGACTACTTCCAAAAACATCTTGCCAGTGTGTGGGAGTGCTGGTAAGAAGACTATAAGGCTGGCTGTCATGCTTTTGGAGACTGGGCAGCACCAAATCTGAATGGTGGGGAAGAGGTAAACAGGAAAAATCTGACCCAACCCATGTAGTACATTTGAAAATGCTGTATTTGAAAGTATTTCCATATAGAAATTTTATACTAAGACCATATTGGAGGTGGACTAAGTAATCAACTACATATATTCGATGAGTAGATAGGCTGTTCTTACCTGCCACCCCCTGGAGATGAAATATAAAGAATACAAACTTTGAGTAGAGCAACCCAAAGCTTTGATTTTGTGCTGTAACTTATGTGACATTCCTCAAATAGTCAGAGTTTCAAAAAGCACTTTGGTACAATACTTTGGTAGAATGTGTTTTTACTTCTGTAACTGAAGACAACCGAAGGACCATATATTTCCCTTTATAAAATTATTTATGGTGACATCCAGGGCCTGGATTACGATAAAAAAAATTTTTTTTAGTATAATAAGAAGTTTATTACTCCTACTCAGTAGTTCCTGGGGGCTTTTGATGTTAAATCATACATAATTGGAGAAATACCAGGAATCCTCTTAATCTCAGTGACCATCTTTATTACAACCTCTATAAGGATCTCATTGCCAGGGACTGCAGGTATACCAGTCATGAAATCACTAGTAATAAAGATTCTAATAACCAAAGATTTCTGACATGAAGTTTGCTTCTGAAGTGGGTCCCGATCAAAAATGTAATGGGGTGTCAAAATTATCGGCATCTAGCTTTTTCCTAGCATACTCAGACTCCCTGAGAATGTCATGGGCCTCAAAATCAGCTAGGCGTAAAGTAATGAGCATCCCCCTGTTGTCAAGAAAGTGGGAGGTTCTTTAATTGGTGGGCCAAATTATGAAATAGAACCAGTCGTGGAATATTGAAGAACCTCCTGTTATAGCATGTTCCCTGGAGTTCGCCAGATGCATCAGGTGCTCATGCTGCACCCTCTACCTGCAACACCCAAATCCCCTTCTTCCTGGCATGCTCAGATCTAAGAGGCCTTCCTCACCCTCTCAGATAGAGATCAGTCCCCCCTCGCTGTGCTCCCCAGACTGTTTCCATGTGCCCTCCGTCTCCACACCCACCACACTGAACTACAGTTGTTTGCTCTTCTGGCTCCCTCATTGGGCTAGGAGTTTCCTGACATCAGTGATTTTGTCTCCTTCCTATTTTCATCTTTTACATCCAGAGTAGTATTTGCACATTTTGGGCACACAATCAGGGTTTGCTGGATTGATGGATAAATGCTTGAGAGTGTGAATAAATGAATGAGTGAGTAAATGAATACATGAAAAGATCAGGAAAATGTTACCCACCCCCAAATGGAAGCTAGTACAAACATCTAAGTGTCAGTGACTTTACATACATGCAGCATTAGCACATGTAATGGTACTTCCCAAATCCAGCTGAGATGACAAGATGGCTGCAGCATAATGCATATCACAAACAACTCGTAAGATGTGTGGCATAAGATGGTGAGAACTGTGCTGATTCAGATCAGAGCTGGGTGTCAGGAACTGATCAGTTTTCATCTACATTTGGGAGAGAAATTCGATCTGTGGAACAGAGTGAACATTTTGGTCTTTGTGATTTCCTTTAAGCAAGGTATTTTTCGCCTTAAAATTTAAGGGCAAAGTACATCTTAAAAAATAGGCTTATCTAAAGCATGGCTTCATTGTTTAAAAAAAGAAAACGAAACCAGCTACTACACCTCTAAAATGGAAGTGACATTGAACTAGTCATTTCCCTCCCGCATGCCTCGGTTTCTTTCATGCATAATTTGTAAGATGATAATAGCCCTTAGTAGTATTTACATTGTAGAAGTGTTGTTGCTGCAAATTAGACAGTATAAAACAGGTTACAGTGTCTTCTTTGAGAGACAAGCACTATACACAAATGAGGTATTATTAGTTAGTTTTTCCTTTTCAATTTCTTTAAATGAGAATTAGATGAAAACTCTGCCCCGTAAGCAATATCCAGTGAGTAAATGATTATTGAGTGGAGTAAAGTGAAAAAAAAAAAAATCTTCAGCTGAAAACTCAGTTTGTGCAGCTTAGCTAGCCTGTGCACCAGATAAAAATACTGTCTTCATCTGAGATGTTTACCACTGTTCTTTCTCTCCTCTCTGTGCTATAATCACAAACTGAAGACAGTTAAGCCTTTCAGCTCAGTCATCGTGTGCATTTTAGAGAACACAGATATCCTGGAATGATTTTAGAGAACACAGATATCCTGGAGTGATTACAATTTAGAAATAACGTTTCATTTACCCAAGCCATGCAGCCAGTTTTGCTATTGATTTAGGGCCTAAATGAACTATATCAAACCTTGACTTCAGCTCCTGGTCCCAAGGCTTGGGATCGCTATCCCTGCAAGCTTTTCAGGTTAGTTCCCACCATAGCCTCTGTGCTCCACATTAGCACCATCCAAGCCAGAGCGTTCCTAGCTTCCTCTTGGAATACAGGTTACTGTAAGAAAGGTTGAGGAAATAAGATTTTGAGAATTGTTGTGAATGTCAGAAACTTCAGTTCGTGTCATGAGTGTGTGCAAACATGAGCGCAGTAGAAGGACGCAGGATAAGAGATCGGGTGGTGAGAGAGCCGCCTGCCCAGCATGGTTGTGCCTGGCCTCTGTGTGTATGACAGCTTCAGCCCACTTCTAGTCCTTGGTCCCTGTTCTTGGACAGCTCCCTGCTCCTCCCCTCTCATCCAAACCCCTTACAGTGCGCATCCATTATGTCCTGACGCACCTTCACTCCCTAGGACCAATCTTCAGCATTGCTTGCATTGTGGTCATCTGTTTTCCACCAGACTCATTTATTTTGACTTCTGGATTTTGCTGTCAGGGACTGGCCCCTGCATAGAGAGCTGCCTGGCCAGCTGTGGGGCCAGCAATCTGCTCCAGGCTCCAAGTTGACCACACTCCTCTCCCTCCCTCTGACTGGTCCCAGTACGTGAGCTGTGGCAATAGGTGAGTGTGACAGTTGTGTCTGATCAGGTTTTTAACCTATGAAGGTCATTTCATGGGTGGTCTGTGCCCAGGGGTCAGATGTACATTCATGCACCGCAGTGGTCTTGGGCCCAGGAAGAACCTTAGAGGATTAGGGAAGGGTCAGGTGTGGGAGAAGGGTTAGGAGGAGAACAGGAAAGGCAGATTTAGTTCACTGTACGGTTTCAGCTACACCCATCACCGGTTAAGAGACCACAGCCCCCACACACAGGCCATGCCTACCAAGACCATCACCATGTGATCAACTGAGCTAATGTCAAGGTGGTGAGGGAGTCTTCATGGTGGCCCATTTTCCTACCTTGGGGAAGAAAATCTCGGGATTATGTCTTCCACTTTTAAGGCAAATTGTTTGAAACAGTCATCTCCATTCACTGGTTCCATTTATTCCTCAACTTGCTGTAACGTATCTTCTACCTCCACTGACACTGCTCTCAGTGAACTGGCCAAACACCTCCTTGGTGCTCCCTCCATGGTGCTTCTCAGTCTTTTCTTACTTGATCTCATGACAGCATTAACCTCCTTGTTGAAATGTACTTTTCCCGTGTCCTCTGTGATACCTCACACTTCTTGTTTTCCTTCTGGCCATCTGCCTTCACCTTCTCCCTCTCTCTTTTTTCCAGGGATCGTTTCTCTGCCCATCTTCTAAGCTTTGGGTTTCCTCCAGGTCTTCTCCTGGGTCTTTTCGCTTCCCTGACACTGTAGGGCCCAGTGTATCTCTTTCATCCCTGTGGATTCTATCATTGCCGATTGTGCCCTGATGCTTCCTGAACCTGTATTCTCAGACTTCAAGATCAAACTGCCTACTTGTACCCTGTGAGTGTTCCCCAGACATCCCAAACCAAACATGACCAAGGCTGGACTCCTCCCCTTTTCCTCTCAAAATACAAAAATGATTTTAGCTTTCTTAGGGAGTGATAGCACTGTCCACCACAGCTGTTCAAGCCAAAAATCTGAGCAGCAGTTTTGACTTCTGCCCCTTCAAAACTCCAGCATTCAAGCCACCACGAATTTCAGTAGGCTGTACTTCCTCTACGGCATGGCTTGTAAAGCTCTGTGTAAATTGGTCCTGTTTACTTTTCCAGTCTCATCTCTGACCATTCTGTCTCAGCTATCCTGAACTAGTTTCAGCACTCAGATACTCAGCCACTTCTGTCACCTTCAAAATGTACATCTTCTGTGCCCTCCACTGAAACACACCTGCCCCACCTCTTTATCTGACAAACTCCTTCACACCATGTAAGTCTCTGTGTAGCAGTCCCTAAGTTCCAATTCTCCAAGTCTGGGTGAGAGTCCTTCCCAGAGCTCTCACTATTGTTCTCTCCCCAATACATTCCTTTATCAGAGCTGCCTTTCCTGTTTATCTCTTGCCCTCTACTGCAAGCTTTACTGGAAGGTCTCTGTAAGCAGGAACCATATTTATCCTATTGACCTTTGTATTCCTAGCACCAACAAAGTATTTGGTACAAAATAGATGCTCAGTGAACAAAAATAATATCACTATAAGAACGTAAGAACATAAAACACATTCCCAATCAGGGAATGCAATTAGGATTTTACAAAACATAGATTTACCAAGTCCTTCAACATCAAAGAGGCTTGAAAATTATCTAAAACTATTTTGAAGAATTTATCAATATTAGAATCATGAGCAGAGAGTAGTTACTAGAGGTAGATTTCAAATCTGTTCCTTCTGGGCTTATTTTCCAGAGTTCAGTATTCAGACTCTCCGAGCTGAGTTTTGGGTCACCCAAGCATTCCATCCTCCTGACTTTCCACAATGTACTGGATTCATAACTCACTCCATACTTGAGAACATGGGGATTGGAATAAGGTAAGTGCTCACTTTTCCGTTTTTTCCTCCATTATTTCATTTTCAACCATACATGATACTTCTATAGCATTAATTTCAAAATTCTCTCTCTGGGGTCTTCATCAGAAGACCAGCTCCCCTGCTAGTCTTGCTGATCTCACAACGTTTGAGTAGCCTATGCATATGAAGGAATGTTGTGATGTCTCTTGAGGTGTTATGTCGTTTCAAATGTTTTTTTTGTTTGTTTCATGACTGTTTAAATTTTTCATCGTTGTTCTTTCAATGTTTCCTTATATGACTCCACATAAGAAAAAGTGAGTCTTGAGAAGTCAGAAAGACTTGTTGCCCACTTTGGGACACCTTTGGGGCCAGATGCACCCTAAGATTGCAGAGTGTGAGCAATGCAGTCAAACTTCAAAAACAGCTCTGCTTTAGCTACACTGAGCATGGGCAACTCCTTCCCTCACTCCCACCGTCAACCTTCCCTGGCCCCTCACCTGCTTTAGTTTTTCATTTAAAAAATTATTATTTATTTATCCTCTTATTTGCTTAATATCTATCTCCAAATTAGAATGTAAGCTTCATGAGTGCAAAGAATTTGTTTTGTTCACCTCTATATGCTCAGTGCTTGGACTTGTAGCTGGTACATGGTAGGCTAGGCACCCAATAAATATTTGTTGATTGAATGAATGGTATCTTTTAAAAAATTTTTATAAGGCTGATGCACACTCAGGCCTCTAGGATTCTAATACAAGTCTGGTGTGCAAACTCCCCCTTAACACTTTGATTGATGGCTAAGATGATTACATGGATGGCAGGCTGAACAAATGTACAGATGACGTAAAACTAGAAAGGATAACAAATAAGTTGGATGATACAATCAGAATTCCCCTCTTTCCATCTTATCCAAAATGTAATAATGAATCACATCTAACAACATAAAGTTTAATGGGGACAAATATAAAGTACTCAAAGATCCCAAAATTCAATTGTACAAGTACAGGTTGGGGGCGAGATGACTTACAATTGCTCACGTAGGAAGATTTAGAGTCTCCTGTTGATTGTGAGTAGATGATGAGTCAACACAGTATGATGTAACTTCCAAAAAAATCAGTCTTTTGTTGTTTTAATAGAAATATAGTGTTTAAGTTGGGAAGTAGTTCTCTGGTGATTAGACCAGATTTGTTCTTATTTATGAATTCTCATCTTCAGCCTTTAAGAGAGACATTGATAAACAGAAGAGTATTCAAGAAGAGTAAAAAAAAGATAACATGGGGTCTTGTAATCAGTGTCGTATCAGAAATGATTAAAGGAGCTAAGATTGTGTGTGGGTGTGTGAGGAGGAGGGGGAGAGCTAACATTTGTGGTTACCTTCCAAAGTTAGAGGGGCTGTCCTGCAGAGGAAAGGTTAGATCTCTTCTGGGTAACCTCAAATGACAGACTGAAGACCTGTGAGTGGAAGATGTAAGCATGTATATCACAATCCATTAGAATTCATCAACAATTACATTTGCCCAGTAACTGAGTGGACAACTGGTGAATGTTGTAAGTTCCCTAACTCTGATGGTATTCAAGTAGAAGCTGGGGCATTCATGCCCCATGTCCTGAATACATTTGTGATGGAAATTCAAACACTGGGGTGAGGGGTTGGGTTAAATCACCATAACAAACACATACTGAATGCTTACTATATGGCAAGTCCCAAAATAAGTGTTTAATGCGGGTTTTTGTAATACTCACATCAATCCTGCTAACTCCATCTTAGAGATAAGAAAAGTGAGGCTTAGAGGAGTTAAGTAACTTGCCCAAGGTCTTATACATTGCTTGCAGAGCAAGGATTTTAACTTAGGCAGTCAAATCCCTGACTTTAACTTATTATTCTGTAAGGACTCCCACCGCTAGAAAATCATTCTTTCCTTGAGATTCTACCACTCTAATGAAGTAATTAAATCAAGGAGCTTATTATCTCCAGTCATAAATGATTCTATTGTAAATAGGTTCTTTCAGTATAGTATGCAGGCACTAAACTAGCCACGGCATTTGCCACCTGTGGTACAGCACAGGGCCTGGCACACAATAGTTGCTCAATAACTATTTACTAAGGGAAAAGAATGAGTGGATGCAACCACACAAGCTACATTCGAAATGACAGAATCCCAATCCATTGTGACTGAGGAAAAACAAGCACATTTCTGGGTGGTCTACTAAGGACAAAAAATGATAAGCCATCCTTCCTGGTAGAGGCCTTGAGAATTCCTGCTCAGTTGTTTGGACAATATTCATTTAAATAAATATTTATTGAGTACCTGTCCTGTGCCAGGTGTATCTAATGTGCTGAGGGTGCAGAGGTGAATCAGAGGATGCACTGTCCACTGTTAGATAAGCAAATTCTTATGATACAGTGTGATAAGTGCTATAGCAGGTGTGTGTGTGCGTGCGTGC